GCTCCCCGCTCTGTCTCTGGTGAATCCTCTCACCCTCCACATCTCTGGCCTGTACCCCAGTTCTGTATGAATAAATAAATAAATCTTTAAAAAAAAGTATCATTTGATTGGCTGCACAGTAGGAATTGAATCTATGGTAATCTTCTATATTGGAAATTTGAATATGATGTACCGAACATGTTCTCTGCTCATACTATCTCAATCCAGCAAATAGTGAATGAAATGTCACAATGATATATTTACTTTACAAAATTTGCTTCTAGCTGGAAGGGACTTAAACTTTTGGTGGCAAGCATAATGCAGTATATACAGATGATGAATTATAATGCAGTACTCCTGAAATTGATATAATGTTATAAAACAATGCTTCTTCAAAAAATTAGAATTAAAGCCTCCTTGGTGGTACAAGGGCTAAATCTCAGTGGATGAAGCTATCACCAGCCACTGCAGCATGAGTTCAAACCCTAGCTAGGAATTTGACCCACATATGGCACAGCAGACTTCTCCTGTCTTCCCCCCTGCTCCCCTCAGCAATGTATTTCAATAGATCCATCTGTTCTGCTCCCCACTTGATCTCTGGGGAATCCTCTCACCTACACACCTCTGGCTTTCACTACCCTGTTCTTACATACATAAATAAACAAATATTTGAAAAGAAAAACACAACCAAAAATTAAAATACACCTACACCAAAAAGCAAACATGAAAAGTATGTTCAAAACACACAATGACAAAGTAGATTATTGTGTTCATCTTAAACACATTATCATGTGTTTCATATGTGTTTACATTAATTTGTTCATATTGTTTACTTCAGCATGAAAATATTTTTTAGTTCCATTAAGATATTTCCTTTGGGCCCTCCCTGGTGGCGCAGCGGGTTAAAGCACTGCACTGAGAAGCTAAGCCACTTCCACATGAGTTCGATTCCCGCCTGTCCCAGAGGTGACCACATGGCGTGGCATACCTCTCCTGACCCGCCCTCTGCTCCCCTCAGCCGTGTACTTCTTCGATCTGCCTGTTCTGCTCCCCGCTCTGTCTCTGGTGAAGCCTCTCACCGCCCCTGAGCCTCTGGCCTGTACCCCAGTTCTGTATGTACAAATAAATAAATCTTAAAAAAAAAAAAAAGATATTTCCTTTGACTTGTTTGAAATAGTTTCCATATTGTTGAGTGGTACTTTTAAAAATCTATGTCTCAATTCTGATAGCTCCAGTGTTAATTAAAATGCAGAATTTCAATTTAATTTTTAATAACATGTTATTGACTTACCATTGATTTACAATAGCATACAATTTTAATCTCTTAAACCATCTTCACTGCAATGTCAATCAGCCTGAAATTCCACTTTCTAGAATCTGCCTAGATTCTAGACGCTTTTAGTTAAGCGTTGTTATTGAAAATCAGAAACTTGTATGACTGTGTGTATAACAATGTCTTCCCATAAACATTTTCTTAAAGACACAGAGGTACATTTTTAAAACTATACTATAAAGCCAATCCCACATTTTTGGCAACCCAACAGGATGGATAATCATACTGAAGTTCAAGGGTTGTGCCTGAGGGCACAGCATTTCACGTTGCAATGTATACTGGCTGTATGTTTTGAAAAAGGAACATATTTTAGTCTAATTTATATTAACACAAATATACGATACTAATCCTACTGGATATTTACTTGGATATTAATATATCAATTACTGACTGCATATACAATTAGAAAAAAAAGTCTAGCAATCGAATTCCAGTGAAAACTTCTGTTTTTTGTCTTTCAGTAGGAACAGAATATAAATGAGAATTACACTGGCATAAGTAGGAAAGAATACATTTTGTTCAGACCTGGCTCTCTTGACATTTTAATGAGTTAAATTATTGACATTACGAACATGAAAGATACATTATGGATTTGCTATAGGAAACAGTTTGAATTCGGGAGAAAGTATTAATTTGAATCAAGAGAAAAGAAATATTAATGAATCAAAAGGAGTGTTTTTTTGAAAATTATAAAGTAATATTATTTGGAAGCTAAGAGCATAAAAACGTATTCTTTCTTGTCATAAGGATAGACAGGAATTAGAAGTCTAGTTTGGGACGGAATCTTCAAGCCAACTAGAAAGGAGGAGTCAGAGCTAACAACCGCACACAGCAAACTCTCTGAGTTTCTTTGAGGTGTTGTTTCATGGTTGAGAAACAACAAACCAATTAGATTAGTCATGAAAGGAGCCAATGGCATTGACGTATGTGGTGGGCCACACCTGTCCACAGGTGTATAAAAAACCCTCCTCAGAGGCACTGTCCTCACTGAAGTCACCTACTCTCTTTCTCTACCCAACGACAATCTCAACCACCAGCATCATGTGTGGCAGCTACTACGGAAACTACTATGGAGGCCTAGGCTGTGGCTACAGAGGCTTTGGCTATGGCTACAGTGGCCTGGGCTGTGGCTACAGAGGCCTGGGCTATGGCTACGGTGGCCTGGGCTGTGGCTACGGTGGCCTGGGCTGTGGCTACGGTGGCCTGGGCTGTGGCTACGGTGGCCTGGGCTGTGGCTATGGCTCCTGCTATGGCTGCGGCTTCCGTAGACTGGGCTGTGGCTATGGCTACGGATCTGGGTATGGCTGTGGCTCCGGCTATGGCTACTACTATTAAAGAGTCTCATCTTCTCCACCTGGACATTAGGATTCACCCATTCCATATCCCACAATCTCTAAGCCTTCTGGTCGGGTGATGATTATCTACCACCACAGGTTTCGATCTTAAATTTTCTGAAGAATCATCTTCTGAAGTCATCAAGATACGACCTCCAGCATAATCTTTCATTGGAATGATGTCCCAGATCCTGCCTTTTGATATTCATACAGTATCTGTTTCTCTGTCTTTCTAATAAACTTATTCAATTTTCTTATCATTTACAACCTAGTGTTTGTATTTTTTTTCAGTTGCTTGTATTAAAAGAAATAATTGTTTTCTTTAGAGAATATATTTTCACATTTCTGATTCATTTGCTCAACGAATCAGATTTTTAAAATTAAGAAGTAGCAATATTTGTAGTTTATAGTTTTCTATTCTGGTTATGTGGTAATGATTTTTTCTGCTTGGATATTAAGATAAACAAGACAGCTTTTGTCATTTTAGTTAAGAATTTTCTGGAAATGTTATATATTTCAAGGGCTTCTCCATCAAAAACTTCATCTCCATGAAATTTCATAGAAGATATGAGTATTGACATGATTCCTGCTTTTTTTAAAGTTTATTTAAGTATGCAGAACTGGGGTACAGTCCAGAGGCACAGGGGCGGTGAGAGCCTTCACCAGAGACTAAGTGGGGAACAGAACAGGCAGATTGGCAAAGTACACTGCTGAAGGGAGCAGGGGGTGGGTCAGGAGAGGTCTGCTGCACCATATGGATAACCTCCGGGGCTGGGGTTTAAACTCATGCTGAAGTGGCTTTTGCTTCTTAGTGCTGTGCCACCAGGGAGGGTCCTGATTCCTGCTTCTAATCTTTGGGTACATGTAAGCAAGAAGTATTATTATTTTTTTTAGATTCATTTATTTATGCATACAGCATTGGGTACAGGCCAGAGGTGCAGGGGTGGGGAGAGGATTCACCAGAGACAGTATGGGGAACAGAACAGGCAGATTGACCAAGTACACTGCTGAAGGGAGGAGCGGGCGAGACACGAGAGGTCTGCTGTGCCATGTGGATCACCTCTGGGGCAGAGATTGAACTCTCAGGAAAGCAGCTGCTATCAACTTGCAGTGCTGGGTCCTAAACTTTTATGCCACCAGGGAGGGTCCAAGAGGAAGTAATTTTTATGTGTATCCTGCATAAGATAGACAAATTCAAGCTTATTCTGACATGGCTCACCCAGATTATACAAACACTGCCATGGTTTAAAAATATGCTTTTAAAAACCAGTGACAAATAAATGAATTAAGAAAATGTGTTATATTTAAACAGTGGAATACTATTCAGCAATAAAAATGAATTCTATCCATTTGCAAAAACATAAACAGACTTTGAGCAGATAATGCTGACTGAAAAAGTCAGAAGAAGAAAGACAACATTAGAGGGTCTCACTGAGATGTGGAATATAGAGAAACAAAATAAAGGTTCCCATCCTTCCTGGTGGTAGCAGGAATTAAATCTTAGCACTGTGAAATAATCCACAGCCACTGCAGCATGAGTTTAATCCTTGGCCAGGGAACTGACCCACATGGTGCAGACTCTCATCTCACCCACTATACCCTTGAGCAGTATATTTCAGTCCATCTGCCTGTTCTGATCCCCACTTTGTCTCTGGTGAATCCTTTTACCCCCACCCCCACAGCTCTGGCCTATAACCCAGCTCTTGTATGCATAAATAAATAAAATAAATTCAAAATAAGTTGAAGCCAAACCAAAATTGACATCACTTCTAAAACCCGTTGCATATTTAAGTTCACAGTCATTTCATGGCATTCTACTTATCCCTAGTCGTTCTTTTCCTGTGATTTGTGTGGTTTTACAGTTTTAGCTGCAATAATTTTCTTTTTCACTAATTTTCTGTGACTCATGTTCATAAACTTTTAAATCATGTTTTGTTGAAATGAGATCTCTAGACCTTGGTGTGTGAGTTTAGTGTTGTATTTAGTTTAAGGTCATAAATATGTTCCAATTTATGTTGAAAAGTTCACAGTTTGAAGATCGTGACCTACCAAGAAAGAATTCAGATCCCTCAAAAGATCAAGCCTCAAAGGAGTCATTTTTATTCAAGATTGTCTATGTTAAGTGTTGCCTTCCTAACTTACTTTATTCTTAAAGTTTAGAATCTCAACAGTTGTTGATTATGATTTTGCAGCTCTCCCTCCAAAAAGTGTTTTAATGTCACTTAAGTTAGATACATATTTTATTTTGCTTATTTAGAAATATACATTATGCTTAAGGGAGATTTTGTAGTTTGGGCAATGGAGAGGGTAGTTTCTTACACCACATAAGAAATTTTACTATTCATGTTTATGGTAGGTACCCTAGTGGTATGTTAGTGTTTATGCTACTTCAGATTCTCTTTATTTTTTCCCAGTGTGAATTATTCTTTCTTACAGATGGAATTAATTTATATTATTTAAAAAAATCTTTGCATGAAAAAAATCTTTGTATGTTTTTTCATAATATAGGATTTCTCCTCTTCGATGTGATCACCCTAATTTTCCCACCCACTTCTTGGGTCGCAGACATTGCCATGTGCGAATGTGAGGTTTGGAAATAGTGATGATAATTCTCTTACTCTCCTCCTAAAATGTTATCTATTTGCCACCACTTTCAATACATGATGGTTCTTACCACCACCGGCTTGTCTATAGTTTTTCTTTGAATTTGGGTTCCATTAAGTTGTCTGTCTGTTTACTGATCTACCTGCCTACCTACTTACCAACTTACCTATCACCAAACTATTTCTCTATCTACTAGTGCCTTCCCAAGGGATATATATATATACAACAGCTTTCTAAAGTGACCTTGGGAATCTACCAGAGCCACTGAAGACTATAAAAGGAGAATATTCAAACTTCAAAAATGCTGAGCTCATTTTATGTGAAGACCCTAAATAAAAGAATTATCTCTTATTAGGTTGGAGGCACAGAGAGACCAGTCATTGGCCCAAATATGTCTCACAGTGGGGATTAATGGTTCCATGAACCCATCTTGTAGTAATTACTGCAGTCCTGTGATCATAAATGGCATGAATATATATAGAAGCTATAAAAAATCTTTACATGGTTACTTGACCAATAAATTATAGTGGGGATAGTCACATGGAAGACTCTGAATATAGTTAGCAGCCAAGATAGTGTACAGAATCAAGGTCATATACTACAATTTTATTTTTTTTGAAGATTTATGTATTTATGCATACAAGAACTGGGATGGAGCCAGAGGTGTGGGAGATGAGAGGTTTCAACAGAGTGAGGAGCAGAACTGGTAAATCTCCTGAAATACATTGCTGAGGGGAGCAGCAAGTGAGACAGGAGAGGTCTGCTGCACCATGTGGGTCACCTCCCTGCCAGGGTCAAACTCCTGCTGCAGTGGCTGTGGAGAACTTCATAGTATTGTGTCTTCAAACCCTGTGACACCAAGGAAGCCCTGATGTACTGCAGTTGTATAAGTCAGCATTTTGTATAGGTAGATAGAGAGGGAGAAGATAGGAATTATCTCATATGATGATTGAGGCTCAGGATGCCATAATCTGCTGTCTGCAAGTTTGAGAAGTGGGAAAGCCAGTTGTGCCATCATTTCTTGAGTCTAAGGATTTTAGATGCAGGGGAACCAGTGGTGTCCAAGGAGGACCATTGTCTGAGGGCAGAAGAAGATGAATCAGCTAAGAGCAATTTCCCTCTCTCTGCTCTTTTTGTTCTATCCAGATCTGAATGGGTTGAATAATGGCTACTGACAATGGTGAAGCTGATTTTCTTACTTTATGGACTCAAATGGTAACTCCATAAGATCTGACTGCATCTGAGTAAAGCGAACTCCAGGTGATAATTGTTGGTGTCTCTCTGGTCCACGGTCTGCCTTCATCCTGCCAATCATGCTGAGGACTTCCCACTGTGGATTGTTGAGATTTCCAGTACAAAGTCTGTCTCCCAGCAAGTGCCAAATGTCACTGAGCAGGTCTTTGTTGATAGAAATGCAGCTATAGCTATAGTCACTCACTCTTGCGCGCACACACACACATACTTGCACATATTGTTATATTCAGAAATAATAAAGGTAAATGGATATATGTAAAAATACACACTATCTTTACAAATAAACTCATATTTAATGAAAAATAAGATTAGAATTTTCCCAAAGAAATATTAAGATTGGATTTATGCAAACATATGAAATATAATTTCCCCTCAAAATCATTGGATAATCCAGATGATTAGACCCTGTTATCATAAATAGACTAGGGCTTCAAAGTTAATGTTATAATAGGAAATAAGTAAATATGATAAGGGGGTTATTTTGGTGGAGAAAATTAGTATAGGGCGTTCTGCACTATGAGTTTGGTGATCACCTAAAAAATAAATCATCCCATCTATCTTAACAAAGCCCTGTTAATAAAAATCCTTGACAAAAGTAGCAGTCAACAGATATCCTCATGGAAGGGAGTGGCTAATATCAGTCCAATGTACCTGTTCCCTGTTGAGACTGGAGGCAGCCTGCAGTACCACCTCAAAAGATTTGCTGATCTATGCAGCAAAATATATAAAGACATAACCACACCATAAGAAAAGACAAGAGGGCCCTCCCTGGTGGCACAGTGGGTTAAAGCACAGCACTAAGAAGCTAAAGCCACTTCCGCATGAGTTCAATTCCCGCCTGCTCCGGAGGAGATCCACATGGTGAGGCAGACCTCTCCTGACCCGCCCGCTGCTCCCCTCAGCAGTGTACTTCGTCAATCTGCCTGTTCTGCACCCCACTCTGTCTCTGGTGAATCCTCTCACCTTCCGCATCTCTGGCCTCTACCCCAGCTCTATATGAATAAATAAATAAATCTTAAAAAAAAAAAAGAAAAAAAAGAAAAGACAAGAAGCAAATTTATAAAGTTCCTATATTCCTCTGAAGACAAGAAGCACATTTACAAAGGTCCCATATTCCTCTGAAGACAAGAAACACATTTACAAAGGTCCCATATTTCTCTGAAGTCATACATTTAAGAATTGGTATTGCAAAGCAAAGATAAATAATGAGGAAAATGATTTCCCAAAGAAAAGTAACTGTTATTCCCCCAAACAAACAAAGAGGGAGGCTGTAGATAAATGAATAGAAATAAAATAAATTTTATCTTGCAGGTTTATTAGGACATCCAATATTTATTAGGAAAACACATTTACTATAAAATCACAAGAGTTGGAGTTCCAGCAACATCATGTTAACACCAAGGGTAACATGTGTTCACAGGATGAATCTCATGTTCTTCCAGATGCTAGCATCAGCAGAACCAGGTATCTTGCTAGAAAGGTACAGCGGAAGTCATGGTAGACGTAGGGTAACATTTGAAGTCAAAACAACTGGAAAAGTTCACAACTGGGTAATTACTGAAAGAATCCTCAGAGGATGGGAATTTGTCGTGTTCTCTCAGTAGTAGTAACCAAAGCCAGAGCCACATCCATAGCGAGGACCATAGCCACAGCCATAGAGAGAGCGGGAGCCATAGCCATAGCCACAGCCATAGCCACAGCCCAGTCTACGGAAGCCACAGCCATAGCCATAGCCACAGCCCAGGCCACCATAGCCATAGCCCAGGCCGCCATAGCCATAGCCCAGGCCGCCATAGCCGCAGCCCAGGCCGCTGTAGTAGTTTCCATAGTAGCTGCCACACATGGTGTTGATAGTTGAGTTGTCCTTGGTGGAGAAGGAGAGTAGGAGTGTTACTTCAGTGTGGACATTTCTCCCTCCACAGGGCTTTTTATAGGACCTCAGTATGGGTGGGACCCACCACATGAGCTCACCTCATTGGCTCATTTTTAGGACCAATCTGAGTAATTTGTTGACTCCTGGTTTTAGACATGGCTTCATAGACAATGAGGAAATCTGCTTTGTCTTACCACATCTGAACCAATGATTGTGCCGTTCATGAGAAATCATTTTCTCATCTTCAAAGCCTTACTCATGAGATTTAAAAATGACTGTTTTGTAACCAATCTTTATGGCAAGAAATAACATTTTTATTGACAAACTTTACCTGCTCCAGGCAGACAATTATTTTACCTTGTTTTTATTGACATCCAGCACATCATCATATTCTGCTTTAACCTTCAACCTCTCCATCTATTACCTCCTGCTTCATACCCATCATTTTCCTTTAGTGATTCTTCACATTTTTATGCGAGAAATGGTTTACAACTTGAAAGCCCAAGAGTTATCATTCAGTTTCATGAGGTGTTTGACAAGAAGCAAATAGTTTGAAATTCTGCAGCACCAGGCCTGAGGACACCAGGTATTTCCTTCTCATTTACATTAATTTTAAAACTTTTAACACTCTGAAAGCACAGAGTGTTTTTTCCCATGGTCTTAAATAGATAAGCTGAATCCATGGTCAGGAGAAGCAGGGGAAAGATAAAATTTCATTTGATTTTTGAAATCACATTTTCAAGCAATGATTTTATGGAAAATAAGATATTTGTGCTTTTAGTGACCTTATGGAAGATGAGGCTCATATTTTACTTCAAATGATAATATTAGGAGAGTTATCTTTCCATGAAATCTACTAGGTTTTTCCTAACAAATAAGCTTTGGAAAAATAACACAAACTGTGACAAACATCGGGACCGCTTACTGCCATTTATTATTATTATCAGGTTATTATCACCACACTGAGCTCAGTTGAATTCAGTGAATAAATCAAATAGTATTCTGAACTTCTATGTTCCTTAGAGTCAGCAGAGCCCACAGATAAGAATGAAACACACATTCCTCTGGTAGCTCATACTTCTAATTTTTCTTCAGAAAAAAATTTTAATTTTTTTGTTAACATATGCTCATTTGGAAGCATATTTTTAATTCATTTATCTCCACCAGCTCTTTGTGAGGTGAGTTTGTGAGTTGTTTGGCACGCGTGGGAGCTCTGCTCTTATGTCTGGTGGGACAATCCTGGGGGGGATCAAATCCTTGAAGGAGAAAACTCCAATTCTGAGTGTCTCAAGCACTTGCCCAGAGGCCACTGGCATCATTGAAGTGATTAACACAGGGAACGTGACTAAGTGTCTCACGCCAGAATCTTTTATCCTGATACAAAAAGTCGGGATGAAAGAAAAGTGCGATTTCTAGGATTCTCTGCCTGAGAGAGGAAAGTCTCTCCTAGGGAGAAGATAAAGCTCTGAAGTAGAACTTCAGTAAACATGTTCATAAAATCTTTTATTGGCTACTAGGAATGACAAGGTCTGCCGCCCATTCTATTAACTCCTCCTTGAGAATAATGGGTATTCTAAATTAGGCTAACTAAAATTAGAAAAATCTAAATATTCTCCCTTAGAGTTGTGTATAATAGAGTTACAAATAAGTTCTGATATAATAAAGCTCTAGCCTTAAACGAGAGAAAAAGAGAGAGAGAGAGAGAGAGAGAGAGAGAGAGAATCTTTTTTAAAAAAAAGATTTATTTATTTATACACACAAGACCTGGCATGTAGGCCAGAGCTGTGGAGGTGAGAGGATTCATCAGAGACAGAGTGGGGAGCAGAACAGGTGGATCTACTGAAATACACTGCTGAGGGGAAAAGCAAGTAAGACAGGAGAGGTCTGCTGCACCAGGAAGGGTGAAGGTCAGCTTGCTGGGGGGTGGGGGGTGGGGGGAGGGAGGGATCAACTCTCCTGTGTGTAGTAGACAGCTCTTCATAGCTTCATAGAGCTATCTTTAACCCCTGCATCACCAGAGAGGCCCCAGTAGAGCATAATAGAGACTTATAGGTAAGTCTATATGAATATATAATAAACTTCTCAAAAGCACAAGAAGAATCTTAGATGCAGAATGAGCCCAACATTTCAAAGAGAGCCATTCAAAGAAAAGAGAAACCACTGTCATGTAGTTTTTAAAGGTGGGCCAATGTTAACGAGCCACTTAATCTGAAACCACAAAATCTGGGAAAAGAAAATGTACATTTGTCATAAAAACTGATTTACAAGTGTAAATACTCACTAAAGACACAAAATATTAAGATGGAACAAATTCAGAATTTTCCTAGTAAAATTATCATAAGATTAAAATTCATAAAAAATAAAAGATGTATAGAACAGATATCAGATAATGTGTGGACATTTCACAAATGCAGTGGTAAGCAGAGAAAAGGAGTAGGGAAATATTGAATGAAAGAACATTCTTAGGAGCAGATTGTAAAACTTCAATTTGATCTTCATTTATATTTAGTGTCGGGCACTAATATGTCATCCATAATTAAAGGAGACGAGTAATTAAATTATTCTAAGCGTTCTTTTGCCTTTTCTTAGAAAAAAAATTATCTGGAGAGGGAAAATGTATTTTACGTTTATATACAGAGACAAAAATCACAGTTATGATATTTGCCACATCAGTTCCTGTACATCCTTACATTTTTGCCATTGTAAAAAGGAGATAGTTCTGGCCCTCCCTGGTGGCGCAGCGGGTTAAAGCACTGCACTGAGAATCTAAAGCTGCTTCTGCATGAGTTTGATTCCTGCCTGCCCCGGAGGTGACCACATGGCGTGGCAGACCTCTCCTGACCCGCCCGCTGCTCCCCTCAGCAGTGTACTTCGTTGATCTGCCTGTTCTGTTCCCCACTCTGTCTCTGGTGAAGCCTCTCGCCGCCCCTGAGCCTCTGGCCTGTACCCCAGTTCTGTATGCACAAATAAATAAATCTTTAAAAAAAAATAAAAAGGAGATAGTTCTACTACATCTTTATTTGTCCTGTGAACTATGTGAGATAAGGCACATAATATATTTCTAACTGCTCTATAAGAAACAGCTAATGCTATTTTTTTTTACTATTTTAATTATAATTGAAATTGTTAAATTTTTATTTAATTTTGATGTAAAAATGCCATGAATAGCATGAGGCAAGATAAACAGAATACTGATATAAAAAAAAAAGCAGAAGATAATCAGTGTATGTTTTAATAAATAATATCACTTAAATCATCTACTAAATTCCAGGCATGTTCTAAGAGCTTTACATATTTTAACATATTTAATTATTTCTCATAAAACCCCAAGAATGTAGGTTGTAATATTTTCTAAGAATACCCAGGCCAAAGAAGCTACATAATTTATTCAGTGTCACAGCCTGCTATGTGACTGATGCTAACTATCAAACATATACAATGTATTTATATCTACTTTCTGGCTCATGAGCTAGCCTATGGATTGTTACCTGTATCATAATGATGACGGAATATTCATAATACAAATTCATGTAGATCAGTCAAGTGGAAACAATCAAGTGGAAAGGGAAATGTCCTTGCAATAGAATTGCAGCTAGTATATTTGAGAAAAGAATGATGGAAATCAGAAAAAAATCAACAGTTGCGATCCATCATCATTATAGATAATTCAGGCAAAAAAGAAAAAAATAAATGCTAAGACTGATGGTAAATGTTGAGAGATGAATAGAATATTTACATAGTTTCAAAAAATCTCTGGCCAAATACTTTTAAATTACTAACAGAATAACACTAACCTTTGAGCAGAGAATTCTGGCACTCACTATTGATCAAATGATCAAAATTCTAAATACCACTGATGCAACGTATCTAGTTCAAGTGCCTAGCAAGAAGGGACAATAAAAAGGAGTTGTCATCATTTAACTGAATAAACATATAACCTTGTTCTCATCCTAAGGGAAACATTAGACAAACCCAAACTGAGGGATTTTCTGAAAGGAAATATCTATCTAAAATCAACAAAATATTAAGGTCAAGGAAAGGAGAAGATAACATGGCCCAGGTGTAGTATATTCTTCTATAAGAGCTTTATTGGAGCAATTCATTCTTGGAACACACATTGTAGGAAGAAAAAGGATGAAGTGAGTTCAGGGAGAGGGAAAAGCTGAGTTGGCTCCAGGCTCAGTGGAGGCCCCAGGAAAGCATCTGCAGGATTCTGCAGTTGGCATGTTCCCAAGGAGTTGCTGGAGTCAGGGCAACCTTTGGCTGTGGGAAGGAGGCAGGGACTGGTGATGGGCATCTCTGCCTAGGGCTTGTTGTAGAAGGCGGAGGGTGGGAGTTACTCAGGCTGCAGTATCGCAGCAGCAGGAGGGTGATTTCCTCATCGCTGAAGGGAGAACTGGGTGGATCTCATGCAAGAATAAACAAAATACTGTTATACAAGTCATCCAGACATGGGTAGGAATCAAGGTGAATGCAGAACATTTCCATAAAGTTAAATGCGTTAGGGGTGATTCAGTCATACATATGGTAAAAAGTTTTGATTGAATACTTCAATAATATATGACCCAGCATTCTCAATGATACATTTTTATACTTCATATCTTTAATATTCTTCCCAGAATGTATTGTAGAACATGCAGTTGTTTAACTTGCATCCACTTAGTGTGGGCATTTTACTTCAAGTTAAAGGGGTGAGCACAAAGTGGGGATGGAGCCCAACAAACTATGGATATTTGGGTGCACTATGCCAACATCCCTGGAAGTGGGGTTTCCTTCACTACCAAATTACAAGCAACATTATAAATAACATCTCAATTCAACAAAATAGAGAATAAAGAAATGTGTCAGAGCAGCTAAGAATGTCGAACAATTTTGCTTTCATCAGACATATATAAGGAGCAGAACTTGAGAAATTATAATCAACAACTGCCTTGTGTATCTATTTAAGGGTTAATATATAACTTAAACCAATCTTTGTGTTCAATAGTGATGACCCAAAAATTTGAGTGGGCATAAATATATCATTAAGTAAAAACTCTGCACTTCAAAAATATAGTAAGCAGCAAAGACAAGTTCATTGAATAACTTTTTAAAAAAAGATTAATTTATGCATATGGAACTGGAGTACAGGCCAGAGGTATGGGGTGTGTGTGTGTGAGAGAGAGAGACGATTCACCGGTGACACAATACAGAGCAGAACAGGCAGAAGGGCTTAAATACACTGCTGAAGGAAGCAGTGAACAGGACAGGAGAGGCGGCACTGTGGGGGTCACCTCCCTGGCTGGGGATTAAACTTGTCCTGCAGTGGCTGCAATGTCTTCATAGCGCTGTGCTTTAACCCGATGCACCACCAGGGAGGACCCTAAAGA